CCCCCCCCATCTCTATTATCACAAACCTGCGCCCTGTACGGCGTTGTCACTTGTACAAATAGCTTATTATTCTCTCTAGTTGCCATTTTTTCAGGCTTTGTTGCCCTTTGAAGGAATATTCTGCCGCCCGTACAGTGAAATACTGACAAGGGGTCGATTAGGTGCCATGAGCAAAAGAAGAGTCCTAATTTAAAGTGGAACTCTAACCAAAACCTTGTATGTTTTTGATAGAACCTGCGCCCGGCTCTACTGTTGTGTGTCCCCGCTTGGGGGATTTCTACTCACTTCCTGTACCAGTGGCAATCTGGCACAGGATGCGGTACTTCCCAACTCTGGATTTTAGGGCATGTTGATAAATCTAGATTTCATGCCGACTGAGATTTGCCCCACTATAGTTCTATCCCCCCCGGGGTGTTCCCTGTTCTTCTGCATTATCCATTGTATACAACTCTATAAGTAAATGTACTTTCGTTGGTCAGCGTTGGCATGATGTCATTCTATGGTGCTACCTATCCAGCATCTACATCCTGTTATATGGGATGGTTAGATATAGGTTATACAATGTATTTCTATGTTAGTCAGGGTTGGTATGACATTGTTCTATGGTGTTGCCTATCCAGTATCCATGCATGTTATATGGGATGGGTAGATGTAGGTTGGTCAATGTATTTCTATGTTGGTCAGGGTTGGCATGACATTCTATGGTGTTGCCTATCCAGTATCCAGGCATGTTATATGGGATGGGTAGATGTAGGTTATACAATGTATTTCTATGTTGGTCAGGGTTGGTATGACATTGTTCTATGGCGCTACCTATCCAGCATCCAGGCATGTTATATGGGATGGGTAGATATAGGTTATACAATGTATTTCTATGTTGGTCAGGGTTGGCATGATGTCATTCTATGGTGTTGCCTATCCAGCATCCAGGCATGTTATATGGGATGGGTAGATGTAGGTTATACAATGTATTTCTATGTTGGTCAGGGTTGGTATGATGTCATTCTATGGTGTTGCCTATCCAGCATCCAGGCATGTTATATGGGATGGGTAGATGTAGGTTATACAATGTATTTCTATGTTGGTCAGGGTTGGTATGATGTCATTCTATGGTGTTGCCTATCCAGCATCCATGCATGTTATATAAGATGGGTAATTGTCGATTTCTAGGTGCCGGGGACCTGCTGGGAGGGTGGAGGTGGAATGTTCTGACCCGTGGCACCCATTTATGATAATACAGAGAATGTGAAGCCGTTAACCCCTCACAACCAACAATACTTTATATTGTGTAACCCGGCCTAGGAAAAGTGAAACGCAGACTTTGATTTGTTCCATAGCCGACAGCATCCCATTAGCTCCGGTATTCCTTCATACGCAGTTCTCCAGCCTCATAGCACAATGGCTCTGTGAGCGGCCAGCACTGTGAAGGATATCTTTGTGTCTATTAGTGATATCCCCGATTCATCTCACACAGAGCAGGCAACATGCGTCTTCCAAGGCCAGGAAGAATTTGCTCTTCTTGTGTCGCCCCTCCACACAATGTCTGTCTGTGTCTGTGCCAGTTAACCGTACGAGTATCTTGTGATTCTTGGAGTAACGTTGGTCTTCTGCTGTCTGTGCAGTATCCCGGAAACACGGCAAGCTGATCACATTTCTGAGGACCTTCATGAAGTCCAGACCCAGCAAGCAGAAGCTGAAGCAGCGCGGAATCCTGCGGGAACGGGTGTTTGGCTGCGACCTCGGGGAGCATCTTCTCAACTCTGCCCAAGATGGTAAGACCTGCTGGGACTGATATTATACATTGTGTGCGGGACGGGGGCAATTCCAATATGCTTCTGTTTGTCAATGTTGTGGGGGCAGTGTACAATGGAGGATACACAGTGGAGGCCATATATGGTGGAGGATACCCAGTGGGGGTGGTATAAGGTGGAGGCTACGCAATGGAGGCAGTATACGGTGGAGGCAACGCAGTGGGGGCAGTATACGGTGGAGGATACACAGTGGGGGCACTATAGGATGAAGGATACGCAGCGGGGGCAGTATACGGTGGAGGATACACAGTGTAGGATACGCAGCGGGGGGCAGTATACGGAGGAGGATACGGAGCGGGGGGCAGTATACGGAGGAGGATACGCAGCGGGGGGCAGTGTATGGAGGAGGATACGCAGCGGGGGGCAGTATACGGAGGAGGATACGGAGCGGGGGGCAGTATACGGAGGAGGATACGCAGCGGGGGGCAGTGTATGGAGGAGGATACGCAGCGGGGGGCAGTATACGGAGGAGGATACGGAGCGGGGGGCAGTATACGGAGGAGGATACGCAGCGGGGGGCAGTATATGGGGGAGGATACGCAGCGGGAGGCAGTATACGATGAAGGGTATGCGGATGTATGAGAAGAAGGTGTCGGGTTATCCGTGCATACTGTGATGACACGGGCCCGTACCTTTCCTGAACATCTCCCCCCTCACACAATGAACAGGTTAGACGGGAATGTTGTGCGCACGGCGTTGTCTTCTTTGTGTCGCTCATATTACCAGCAACACTTCCGTCAGGAAAGACAACAAGCTGACAGCTCGGAGCTTCTCCGCGAGAAGACAAAATGTGTTCCACCAAAAATGTTCCCCGAGACCATCCGAGTCGTCTATGTTATCTGTGGGAATAATAATGTCCTCGCCCCGAGACTCCTCCATGAGGTAGAAGAAGTCATGAAGGTCGATCTATGACCGACACAGGATCTCAGGGAGCTTTCATATCCTATGTGCAAATGTGGCGACTTACCACACACCTAATCCGGGGGTCTCAGTGTGTGTGGCCCCCCGTGGCCCAACGTCCATACATACTGGTGTGCCAATGACCCAAAGATTTCACCTCACAGATTTCCGATTGGTTTCTAGTGTTCTCTTATCCCCATATTGTTTTGTACAATCACTAGGGGTATACACAGCCCTCCAGTTGTGATGGATCTACAAATCCCATCTCCCCCTCTGGGAGCCATTTGTGTGCCTGTCAGAGTGTTGCAATGCCTTATGGGACTTGTAGTTGCACCGCAGCCGGAGGACCAGAGTTTGCACCCCCCCCCCTGATATATACTATCATGTTGTCATACGAAGCAGAGTCCCTTCAAAGACTTTTATCTTCCAGGGCAGGCAGGAATGTGATTGGTGGTGGTGGAGAGATGACGGTCTCTATCTGAATGTCATCGGTTGGCAGCTAGAAGGATGTACAAGTCTTTCTTGATACACGAGGCCGTCTACTTCATACCACCATGGCCAAGAGGCACCTAGGAGGTCCACATAGGCGACATGCACACAGGCAGCCCACTTACAGGGAGCTGACCCACACTTGTGTAACTACATGGAGTTTGACGTCTTTGGTCCACGGAAGAGGTTCTGTATCACCTATACTCAGGGTCAGTGCAGATCAGGGGTGCCCATTGGGTCATCGCGCCAGTCCTTGTGTGTTTATTGAACAAGCTGGCTAATCCAATAGCTGCTAGACAGCCAGGAGAGAGAGAGCGAGGAGAGACACCGAGAGAGAGAGCGAGGAGAGACCCCGAGAGAGAGAGCGAGGAGAGACACAGAGAGAGAGCGAGCGAGGAGAGACACAGAGAGAGAGCGAGCGAGGAGAGACACAGAGAGAGAGCGAGCGAGGAGAGACACAGAGAGAGAGCGAGCGAGGAGAGACACAGAGAGAGAGCGAGCGAGGAGAGACACAGAGAGAGAGCGAGCGAGGAGAGACACAGAGAGAGAGCGAGCGAGGAGAGACACAGAGAGAGAGCGAGCGAGGAGAGACACAGAGAGAGAGCGAGCGAGGAGAGACACAGAGAGAGAGCGAGCGAGGAGAGACACAGAGAGAGAGCGAGCGAGGAGAGACACAGAGAGAGAGCGAGCGAGGAGAGACACAGAGAGAGAGCGAGCGAGGAGAGACACAGAGAGAGAGCGAGCGAGGAGAGACACAGAGAGAGAGCGAGCGAGGAGAGACACAGAGAGAGAGCGAGCGAGGAGAGACACAGAGAGAGAGCGAGCGAGGAGAGACACAGAGAGAGAGCGAGCGAGGAGAGACACAGAGAGAGAGCGAGCGAGGAGAGACACAGAGAGAGAGCGAGCGAGGAGAGACACAGAGAGAGAGCGAGCGAGGAGAGACACAGAGAGAGAGCGAGCGAGGAGAGACACAGAGAGAGAGCGAGCGAGGAGAGACACAGAGAGAGAGCGAGCGAGGAGAGACACAGAGAGAGAGCGAGCGAGGAGAGACACAGAGAGAGAGCGAGCGAGGAGAGACACAGAGAGAGAGCGAGCGAGGAGAGACACAGAGAGAGAGCGAGCGAGGAGAGACACAGAGAGAGAGCGAGCGAGGAGAGACACAGAGAGAGAGCGAGCGAGGAGAGACACAGAGAGAGAGCGAGCGAGGAGAGACACAGAGAGAGAGCGAGCGAGGAGAGACACAGAGAGAGAGCGAGCGAGGAGAGACACAGAGAGAGAGCGAGCGAGGAGAGACACAGAGAGAGAGCGAGCGAGGAGAGACACAGAGAGAGAGCGAGCGAGGAGAGACACAGAGAGAGAGCGAGCGAGGAGAGACACAGAGAGAGAGCGAGCGAGGAGAGACACAGAGAGAGAGCGAGCGAGGAGAGACACAGAGAGAGAGCGAGCGAGGAGAGACACAGAGAGAGAGCGAGCGAGGAGAGACACAGAGAGAGAGCGAGCGAGGAGAGACACAGAGAGAGAGCGAGCGAGGAGAGACACAGAGAGAGAGCGAGCGAGGAGAGACACAGAGAGAGAGCGAGCGAGGAGAGACACAGAGAGAGAGCGAGCGAGGAGAGACACAGAGAGAGAGCGAGCGAGGAGAGACACAGAGAGAGAGCGAGCGAGGAGAGACACAGAGAGAGAGCGAGCGAGGAGAGACACAGAGAGAGAGCGAGCGAGGAGAGACACAGAGAGAGAGCGAGCGAGGAGAGACACAGAGAGAGAGCGAGCGAGGAGAGACACAGAGAGAGAGCGAGCGAGGAGAGACACAGAGAGAGAGCGAGCGAGGAGAGACACAGAGAGAGAGCGAGCGAGGAGAGACACAGAGAGAGAGCGAGCGAGGAGAGACACAGAGAGAGAGCGAGCGAGGAGAGACACAGAGAGAGAGCGAGCGAGGAGAGACACAGAGAGAGAGCGAGCGAGGAGAGACACAGAGAGAGAGCGAGCGAGGAGAGACACAGAGAGAGAGCGAGCGAGGAGAGACACAGAGAGAGAGCGAGCGAGGAGAGACACAGAGAGAGAGCGAGCGAGGAGAGACACAGAGAGAGAGCGAGCGAGGAGAGACACAGAGAGAGAGCGAGCGAGGAGAGACACAGAGAGAGAGCGAGCGAGGAGAGACACAGAGAGAGAGCGAGCGAGGAGAGACACAGAGAGAGAGCGAGCGAGGAGAGACACAGAGAGAGAGCGAGCGAGGAGAGACACAGAGAGAGAGCGAGCGAGGAGAGACACAGAGAGAGAGCGAGCGAGGAGAGACACAGAGAGAGAGCGAGCGAGGAGAGACACAGAGAGAGAGCGAGCGAGGAGAGACACAGAGAGAGAGCGAGCGAGGAGAGACACAGAGAGAGAGCGAGCGAGGAGAGACACAGAGAGAGAGCGAGCGAGGAGAGACACAGAGAGAGAGCGAGCGAGGAGAGACACAGAGAGAGAGCGAGCGAGGAGAGACACAGAGAGAGAGCGAGCGAGGAGAGACACAGAGAGAGAGCGAGCGAGGAGAGACACAGAGAGAGAGCGAGCGAGGAGAGACACAGAGAGAGAGCGAGCGAGGAGAGACACAGAGAGAGAGCGAGCGAGGAGAGACACAGAGAGAGAGCGAGCGAGGAGAGACACAGAGAGAGAGCGAGCGAGGAGAGACACAGAGAGAGAGCGAGCGAGGAGAGACACAGAGAGAGAGCGAGCGAGGAGAGACACAGAGAGAGAGCGAGCGAGGAGAGACACAGAGAGAGAGCGAGCGAGGAGAGACACAGAGAGAGAGCGAGCGAGGAGAGACACAGAGAGAGAGCGAGCGAGGAGAGACACAGAGAGAGAGCGAGCGAGGAGAGACACAGAGAGAGAGCGAGCGAGGAGAGACACAGAGAGAGAGCGAGCGAGGAGAGACACAGAGAGAGAGCGAGCGAGGAGAGACACAGAGAGAGAGCGAGCGAGGAGAGACACAGAGAGAGAGCGAGCGAGGAGAGACACAGAGAGAGAGCGAGCGAGGAGAGACACAGAGAGAGAGCGAGCGAGGAGAGACACAGAGAGAGAGCGAGCGAGGAGAGACACAGAGAGAGAGCGAGCGAGGAGAGACACAGAGAGAGAGCGAGCGAGGAGAGACACAGAGAGAGAGCGAGCGAGGAGAGACACAGAGAGAGAGCGAGCGAGGAGAGACACAGAGAGAGAGCGAGCGAGGAGAGACACAGAGAGAGAGCGAGCGAGGAGAGACACAGAGAGAGAGCGAGCGAGGAGAGACACAGAGAGAGAGCGAGCGAGGAGAGACACAGAGAGAGAGCGAGCGAGGAGAGACACAGAGAGAGAGCGAGCGAGGAGAGACACAGAGAGAGAGCGAGCGAGGAGAGACACAGAGAGAGAGCGAGCGAGGAGAGACACAGAGAGAGAGCGAGCGAGGAGAGACACAGAGAGAGAGCGAGCGAGGAGAGACACAGAGAGAGAGCGAGCGAGGAGAGACACAGAGAGAGAGCGAGCGAGGAGAGACACAGAGAGAGAGCGAGCGAGGAGAGACACAGAGAGAGAGCGAGCGAGGAGAGACACAGAGAGAGAGCGAGCGAGGAGAGACACAGAGAGAGAGCGAGCGAGGAGAGACACAGAGAGAGAGCGAGCGAGGAGAGACACAGAGAGAGAGCGAGCGAGGAGAGACACAGAGAGAGAGCGAGCGAGGAGAGACACAGAGAGAGAGCGAGCGAGGAGAGACACAGAGAGAGAGCGAGCGAGGAGAGACACAGAGAGAGAGCGAGCGAGGAGAGACACAGAGAGAGAGCGAGCGAGGAGAGACACAGAGAGAGAGCGAGCGAGGAGAGACACAGAGAGAGAGCGAGCGAGGAGAGACACAGAGAGAGAGCGAGCGAGGAGAGACACAGAGAGAGAGCGAGCGAGGAGAGACACAGAGAGAGAGCGAGCGAGGAGAGACACAGAGAGAGAGCGAGCGAGGAGAGACACAGAGAGAGAGCGAGCGAGGAGAGACACAGAGAGAGAGCGAGCGAGGAGAGACACAGAGAGAGAGCGAGCGAGGAGAGACACAGAGAGAGAGCGAGCGAGGAGAGACACAGAGAGAGAGCGAGCGAGGAGAGACACAGAGAGAGAGCGAGCGAGGAGAGACACAGAGAGAGAGCGAGCGAGGAGAGACACAGAGAGAGAGCGAGCGAGGAGAGACACAGAGAGAGAGCGAGCGAGGAGAGACACAGAGAGAGAGCGAGCGAGGAGAGACACAGAGAGAGAGCGAGCGAGGAGAGACACAGAGAGAGAGCGAGCGAGGAGAGACACAGAGAGAGAGCGAGCGAGGAGAGACACAGAGAGAGAGCGAGCGAGGAGAGACACAGAGAGAGAGCGAGCGAGGAGAGACACAGAGAGAGAGCGAGCGAGGAGAGACACAGAGAGAGAGCGAGCGAGGAGAGACACAGAGAGAGAGCGAGCGAGGAGAGACACAGAGAGAGAGCGAGCGAGGAGAGACGGGATTGGAAATGTAGTAAGAACCGCTGAAGCCCAGTTTTTTTGGGGGAGGGGTTTCATTGGTAGATCTTATTGAGCTCGTCATTTGAACAGTAGATAGTGACACATAACATTGGGGGCCCCTCCCCCGGTGTAGAGAAGTAACTTCTGATTGGCCCTTTGCTGTGCGCTCTGGTGATTTGTTATGTTTGCTGTCACACTCCAGTTGTGTTCTGTCTCCTCCATAGTCTGCGGTGTTCCTGTACAATATATGAGCACGGCACGGAAGGGACCCGATGAGATATAATTACAGGGCAGAGCCGGCATTACGGGGTGACGCCTGAGAATCTCGGGATACTGGAAGAGGTGACACGCTGAAACCTGGCAGAGTCTCTGGAATTGTACAAAGAACCCGAACTCTTGCTGCACCCCTTACCAGAACATCCAAGAGACCCGTGCAGACGGGTGGGTGCTTGTAGTAACCGCGGACGGCACCGTGAATAACACGGAAGGAGAAATGATGTCACCAGCGCACCATAAAAGTCCATTTAATGACCCATTGTCAGGCAATTGGCACAGAATGGCAATGGGTCATTAAATGGACTTTTATGGTGTGCTGGTGACATCATTTCTCCTTCTGGGATTGTACAGACACGACCCGGGTTATCTCTGCCCCTTCCTCCTAAAGGTCCCCACACACCTTACGATAATCTCGGGAAATCCCGCGATCGTACGATTATGGTAAGGTGTGTGGAAGCCGTGCGACCTCTACTACTGTAAGGTCGCACGACTTTGAACTTACGGACATGTTCGAAAACCCGCCGAGCATCGTACGACGTTCGGCGGGTTTGTGGCATGTCCGTACCATGAAAGCCGTACGGGCCGGTGTGCGCAAGCGCACACTGCCCGTTCGGCATTGCGGTCATCGGAAGCCCGCCCCTCAGGGGGCGTGGCTTGCGATCATCGCAAGTATGATCTGCCTATGCAAGATAGGCAGATCGTACATTTTTTTAAGTACCTTACAACCATCGCAAGACAAAAGTCATGTAAGGTGTGTGCCCAGCCTAACACAAGGCGGTCAGCACGCTGCAGAGATCACATATGGTCTGTAAAGAAATTGTGCAGAGTGTGTCACCTGACCTCCCCATTATTCACAACGCATTCACCTTTGCTCAGTGCTGGGGGGGTAAGCGGACCATGGGCCAGTATCAGTTGTATCCGTTTACCTCCTCCGATACTATAGATCGGGGGAATGTTGGCCATTCTCAGGATTTTGTATCTCGTCATTGTTCTGCTCACGCTGTGCAGTCTCGGTGGGGGGATGGGCCGTTTACTCCCGTGCTTTGCATATTTGTCCCGAGGAATAATTGGGAAGAGCCCGGGCATGTTACGCCTTTGTGTCGTGTCTAAAGACCTAGAGAGTCACGTGACCCTCGTCTACCCAGCCGTGTCTGCTGGAACACGGAGATCTAATGGAGAAGAATCCATCGATGACCCGAATCACGAAACCTTCAGCCTCTTATATATATGATGAGCGATGTTAGGAGAAGTTTCTGTTTTCCTGATGCAGGGACTCGGCTCATACAGCCAGGTGTCAACATTGAGCAGTTGGTGCAGCCAGACTTAAGTTGGCCAACCAGTTTTTATTGGTGATGCAACTGTTCTGAGGCTCTGCAATTACCGTGTCGTTTCTGCATTAACATACGTGTGGTAACGAGCATGCAAAGGACTTTCAGGGTGCTCGGAAATCTCAGGGACCAGTTACAGGCAATCACCTACAACCGCGGCTCTCTAGGAGTAGTGGTCAGTCACATGCAAATGGACTTGTTCTGGAACGTTAAGGGCTCACTCCACCTTTGGGACCATGCTTTAGGATGCAACATGCAGAACACTGCAGGATCCTGAGCATTGCACCCACAAAACACTGCAGGATCCTGAGCATTGCACCCACAAAACACTGCAGGATCCTAAAAATTGCACCCACAAAACACTGCAGGATCCTGAGCATTGCACCCACAAAACACTGCAGGATCCTGAGCATTGCACCCACAAAACACTGCAGGATCCTAAAAATTGCACCCACAAAACACTGCAGGATCCTGAGCATTGCACCCACAAAACACTGCAGGATCCTAAAAATTGCACCCACAAAACACTGCAGGATCCTGAGCATTGCACCCACAAAACACTGAAGACCTGAATGCAGACATTGATTAAATGCACATATTTATGTGGCTGGACTTGTTACATTTTTGCAGAAAGGTGGACTGCCCCTTTAAAGACATTTAGCTGCTTGTCCGGAGAGCGTTCTCAGCTGCCGTTCAGCTCACTTGCAGTGGAATGCGACTAACTACTACTACCGTCTCTGCCATCACCGGGATCAATGGGAACCTTCTCAGACGCGTTGGTTGTAGGAGTTCACTCATCACATAACGTCTCCTCAATGTATCAGCGATTGTTACAATGTTACCATGTAACACAGAACTCACATTGGGCTCCATAAGATTAAATTTAACGAGCCCCTCAGAGCTCCCCATCCCACCATCCATCCTCACTAACATTTAGGGAGGTGAGACGGGTGTAGAGATGAGCTGGCTGTTGGCCTCCCACCGGCATCGTTCACAGGTTTCCTTGTTTATAGCACCGGATAGAAATGCAGCCATGTTTTGGGTTAGTAGCACGCTTGTCGCTCGGCACAGTGTTCGGTTTTCTCCATCCCGGAGAAGCTGATTGCAGGAGGTCACTCTGGACCCAAAGTTCTGCACACGGTATAGAGGCTGTGAGCACAGAGGTGAAGAGTTAATGGAGGCCGCACCGTGGGAGGCTCTCTGCCAGGATCCAGCGGCACTGACAGGATAGTAATTATCTGAATGACTTTATTAAGTGCTCTGTGGTGTTATTATAAAGCGAATGTTCACTTCATTGTCTGCTGTGTGGGCAGGAAATTGCTGTTTTGTTCATCTGGCTGTGATGTGGTTTCTAATCTGTTCCTCCCACTTCTACCTCCGTAAAGTCCCTCAGGTCCTCCGAAGCTGCACAGAGTTCATAGAGAAACATGGCATTGTGGACGGGATTTACCGACTGTCTGGGATCGCCTCCAATATACAGAAACTACGGTGAGCAATTTGTCTCATTTCACTTGTTCCCGGCATGCAACCAAACACAAAAGGTGCCGAGCAAGGCAAGACGGTGATATACTGCATATAATAATATGAGACCGCATCAGTATTGTCAGATATACAGCGCCCCCTTATAATCAGGTGCGGAGAACGGGGTCACTATTAGACACGCAGCGCCCCCTTATAATCAGGTGCGGAGAACGGGGTCACTATTAGACACGCAGCGCCCCCTTATAATCAGGTGCGGAGAACGGGGTCACTATTAGACACGCAGCCCCCCCTTACAATCGGGTGTGGAGGACGGCGTCACTATTAGACACGCAGCGCCCCCTTATAATCCGGTGTGGAGGACGGCGTCACTATTAGACACGCAGCGCCCCCTTATAATCCGGTGTGGAGGACGGGGTCACTATTAGACACGCAGCCCCCCCTTATAATCGGGCGTGGAGGACGGGGTCACTATTAGACACGCAGCGCCCCCTTATAATCGGGCGTGGAGGACGGCGTCACTATTAGACACGCAGCGCCCCCTTATAATCGGGCGTGGAGGACGGGGTTCCTGGCAGCTGTTGGGCTTTGGGAAGGATTGGTGTTCCCGGACTAAACTTCATTATCCTCAATTTCTGTGTTTTATGTCGCCCTGTTAGACACGAGTTTGACTCGGAGCAGATCCCAGACCTGACTAAAGATGTGTACATCCAGGATATCCACTGTGTTGGCTCTCTGTGCAAACTCTACTTCCGAGAGCTTCCCAATCCACTGCTGACCTACCAACTCTATGAGAAATTTTCTGTGAGTATACACGCCATCAGGGGATCTGCTATACCCGGGGTGTACTCTCTGACATATACACAACACTCGGGGTGTACTCTCCTACCCTCACCTCACTGACATATACACAACACCGGGGTGTACTCTCCTACCCTCACCTCACTGACATATACACAACACCGGGGTGTACTCTCCTACACTCACCTCTCCGACATATACACAACACTCGGGGTGTACTCTCCTACACTCACCTCTCCGACATATACACAACACCGGGGTGTACTCTCCTACCCTCACCTCACTGACATATACACAACACTCGGGGTGTACTCTCCTACCCTCACCTCACTGACACATACACAACACTCGGGGTGTACTCTCCTACCCTCACCTCACTGACATATACACAACACTCGGGGTGTACTCTCCTACACTCACCTCACTGACATATACACAACACTCGGGGTGTACTCTCCTACACTCAGCTCTCCGACATATACACAACACTCGGGGTGTACTCTCCTACACTCACCTCACTGACATATACACAACACCGGGGTGTACTCTCCTACACTCACCTCACTGACATATACACAACACCGGGGTGTACTCTCCTACACTCACCTCACTGACATATACACAACACCGGGGTGTACTCTCCTACACTCACCTCACTGACATATACACAACACCGGGGTGTACTCTCCTACACTCACCTCACTGACATATACACAACACTCGGGGTGTACTCTCCTACACTCAGCTCTCCGACATATACACAACACTCGGGGTGTACTCTCCTACACTCACCTCACTGACATATACACAACACCCGTCACCTGTTGTATTTGTTGTAAGGTGTGTTCTATCTTACCAGGACGCTGTGTCGGCTGCAACAGATGAAGAGAGACTGGTGAAGATCCATGATGTCATCCAGCAGCTGCCTCCTCCACATTACCGGTCAGTCCTCCTTGTCCTATGCCGGCCCTATGATCCTTATCACTATAGGAGGGGAAATGGTGATTGATGACACAAATGTTTCTAAATATACTGCTAATGATCACTTGGTACCCTGTGATATGACATAGGTAGCCCTGTGATATGACATAGGTAGCCCTGTGATATGACATAGGTAGGCCCTGTGATATGACATAGGTAGGCCCTGTGATATGACATAGGTAGGCCCTGTGATATGACATAGGTAGGCCCTGTGATATGACACGGGTAGCCCTGTGATATGACATAGGTAGCCCTGTGATATGACATAGGTAGCCCTGTGATATGACATAGGTAGCCCTGTGATATGACATAGGTAGCCCTCTGATATGACATAGGTAGCCCTCTGATATGACATAGGTAGCCCTCTGATATGACATAGGTAGCCCTCTGATATGACATAGGTAGCCCTCTGATATGACATAGGTAGCCCTCTGATATGACATAGGTAGCCCTCTGATATGACATAGGTAGCCCTCTGATATGACATAGGTAGCCCTCTGATATGACATAGGTAGCCCTCTGATATGACATAGGTAGCCCTCTGATATGACATAGGTAGCCCTCTGATATGACATAGGTAGCCCTCTGATATGACATAGGTAGCCCTCTGATATGACATAGGTAGCCCTCTGATATGACATAGGTAGCCCTCTGATATGACATAGGTAGCCCTCTGATATGACATAGGTAGCCCTCTGATATGACATAGGTAGCCCTCTGATATGACATAGGTAGCCCTCTGATATGACATAGGTAGCCCTCTGATATGACATAGGTAGCCCTCTGATATGACATAGGTAGCCCTCTGATATGACATAGGTAGCCCTCTGATATGACATAGGTAGCCCTCTGATATGACATAGGTAGCCCTCTGATATGACATAGGTAGCCCTCTGATATGACATAGGTAGCCCTCTGATATGACATAGGTAGCCCTCTGATATGACATAGGTAGCCCTCTGATATGACATAGGTAGCCCTCTGATATGACATAGGTAGCCCTCTGATATGACATAGGTAGCCCTCTGATATGACATAGGTAGCCCTCTGATATGACATAGGTAGCCCTCTGATATGACATAGGTAGCCCTCTGATATGACATAGGTAGCCCTCTGATATGACATAGGTAGCCCTCTGATATGACATAGGTAGCCCTCTGATATGACATAGGTAGCCCTCTGATATGACATAGGTAGCCCTCTGATATGACATAGGTAGCCCTCTGATATGACATAGGTAGCCCTCTGATATGACATAGGTAGCCCTCTGATATGACATAGGTAGCCCTCTGATATGACATAGGTAGCCCTCTGATATGACATAGGTAGCCCTCTGATATGACATAGGTAGCCCTCTGATATGACATAGGTAGCCCTCTGATATGACATAGGTAGCCCTCTGATATGACATAGGTAGCCCTCTGATATGACATAGGTAGCCCTCTGATATGACATAGGTAGCCCTCTGATATGACATAGGTAGCCCTCTGATATGACATAGGTAGCCCTCTGATATGACATAGGTAGCCCTCTGATATGACATAGGTAGCCCTCTGATATGACATAGGTAGCCCTCTGATATGACATAGGTAGCCCTCTGATATGACATAGGTAGCCCTCTGATATGACATAGGTAGCCCTCTGATATGACATAGGTAGCCCTCTGATATGACATAGGTAGCCCTCTGATATGACATAGGTAGCCCTCTGATATGACATAGGTAGCCCTCTGATATGACATAGGTAGCCCTCTGATATGACATAGGTAGCCCTCTGATATGACATAGGTAGCCCTCTGATATGACATAGGTAGCCCTCTGATATGACATAGGTAGCCCTCTGATATGACATAGGTAGCCCTCTGATATGACATAGGTAGCCCTCTGATATGACATAGGTAGCCCTCTGATATGACATAGGTAGCCCTCTGATATGACATAGGTAGCCCTCTGATATGACATAGGTAGCCCTCTGATATGACATAGGTAGCCCTCTGATATGACATAGGTAGCCCTCTGATATGACATAGGTAGCCCTCTGATATGACATAGGTAGCCCTCTGATATGACATAGGTAGCCCTCTGATATGACATAGGTAGCCCTCTGATATGACATAGGTAGCCCTCTGATATGACATAGGTAGCCCTCTGATATGACATAGGTAGCCCTCTGATATGACATAGGTAGCCCTCTGATATGACATAGGTAGCCCTCTGATATGACATAGGTAGCCCTCTGATATGACATAGGTAGCCCTCTGATATGACATAGGTAGCCCTCTGATATGACATAGGTAGCCCTCTGATATGACATAGGTAGCCCTCTGATATGACATAGGTAGCCCTGTGATATGACATAGGTAGCCCTGTGATATGACATAGGTAGCCCTGTGATATGACATAGGTAGCCCCGGTTGTGAGTGTTGGCCTTTTCATTCATCAAACATATCACGGGTAAGATGTGTGATTTCCTGCCATGTATTGGTCCCTGCAGCTGCCTCTCTGGGTGTAACATGATGGAATGTGGAGGGGACGGTCATGATACAACTTGTCTGAAGACTCTATAGCAGCAGATGCTGTAACCACCCCGAGTCCTGACTACTCGCCGTACACACTCACTGAATCCACACAATGAGAAGTTTATACGATCCTGCAACGTTCTCTCCATCCGGGTGGAATCCATCCCCTCATAATCTGACCCGACCTGTGACAATGAGACTGTCACAGGTCGGCTCAGGAGATCGGGAAGTGAGCGAACACATACCGGCGTTCACTCACCTCTCGATCTATCCCTGCAGAGAGAGTAATGACTGTCACTCACGGCTCCCTGCAGGGATTCTCCCCGCTCCGATCCTCCAGCGCTGACTGTGGGGACGGACGGGGGAGGGGGCGGGTACAGCTGGCTCTGTCTCTAGATAGGCAGAGCCAGCTGTCACTCACGCAGCTGGGCGGATACAGACAGTGATGTCGGGATCCGCTCCGGCTGCGGCGTCTCAGTATACCGCGAGCAGCAGCTCCCTATATACTGAGCTTAGGGTGACGGGAGGACGCTAGTTTGTGTCCTCCCTCATAGTTCTCCTTTAATTATTAGATGACAGATAACGCGACACGGAGGAGGAATGGGAGGCCGTCAGGACAGAATCTTTGTGTCATAATCCTGGTACATGATCCAGTAATGGCCGACACTTTATAATGATATGTTGTGTACAGCGTTACTCACACACAATAAGAATCTCCCGTCCGTTCTTTTCATCGCTCGGTTTGGTTCTCTTTACAATGCAGAGTTATATTTCTATCTTATTCTCACACACGGGCAGTAAATATTGTATTACACAAGCCGGGTCTGTAGCCGGGTAATGTTCATTTTATGAGGAGATCTTATCATTGAATATTGTGTATAGAAGTATAACTCTCATCATCTTTCATTTGCAGGACGCTGGAGTTTCTTATGCGCCACTTATCTTGCCTTGCAACCTACTGCTCCATCACCAACATGCACACCAAGAACCTGGCTATCGTGTGGGCCCCCAACCTTCTCCGGTACGGGACCGTTCCATCTCGGTATGGTACAAGACACGGGGTAGAAGGCCTGTGCTAGCTTTTTACATTTTTAGTGTTTCTAACACCTAGCTGTGGGGGCCGAGTCCTGATCTCTGCTGTATCTTCCAAACATCCATCACTACACAGAGCCGTGTCCCCGGCCCAGAAGGGGAAGCCGTGTCCCCGGCCCAGAAAGGGAAACCGTGTCCCCCGGCCCGTAAGGGGAAGCCGTGTCCCCGGCCCAGAAGGGGAAGCCCTGTTCCCGGCCCAGAAGGGGAAGCCATGTCCTCACCTCCAGAAGGGGGGGAAGCCATTTCCTCACCTCCAGAAGGGGAGAAACCATGTCCTCACCTCCAGAAGGGGGAAGCCATATCATCACCTCCAGAAGGGGAGAAACCATGTCCTCATCTCCAGAAGGGGGAAAACCATGTCCTCACCTCCAGAAGGGGGAAGCCATGTCCTCACCTCCAGAAGGGGGAAGCCATATCATCACCTCCAGAAGGGGAGAAACCATGTCCTCACCTCCAGAAGGGGAGAAACCATGTCCTCACCTCCAGAAGGGGGGAAGCCATGTCCTCACCTCCAGAAGGGGGGAAACCATGTCCTCACCTCCAGAAGGGGGGAAGCCATGTCCTCACCTCCAGAAGGGGGGAAAGCCATGTCCTCACCTCCAGAAGGGGGAAGCCATGTCCTCACCTCCAGAAGGGGGGAAGCCATGTCCTCACCTCCAGAAGGGGAGAAACCATGTCCTCACCTCCAGAAGGGGGAAGCCATGTCCTCACCTCCAGAAGGGGGAAGCCATGTCCTCACCTCCAGAAGGGGGAAGCCATATCATCACCCCAAACTTCAGTTGCCTGAACCCTTCTAGAGCCCCCTGACCCTGGGGATCCCAGCTAGGAGGCAGCTTCCATACTGTGTGTGATGAGGGATCTGGCAGCCGCAATGATAAACATCTGTTACATGAAGCCAAATTGTTCCCTGTGGTTATCAGAAGGGAAGAATGTTATTACCATGAATTATCTTCCAGCCAAAATGAAAGACACGTCATTAAATATTGATTCTTTTATGTTGAATTTAGTTTGTCTTAACCAATATTATCTCCAGGATCATTGTGAAAATAAAATGGTTTTAGCTTGAAGTTAAATGATATCTCCAGACATTACCTGTATGTACCCCCCGTTCTCCAAACATGTTCTTCCAGCAACATTTTTTACTTTTTACCTTGTTTCTATAGCAAGAAATTATTCCCGGTGAGATCATCAGCAGACCTCTTACTAGGAGTTCAGTTACTAGTGATATAGACAGCTAGACAGCTCCCAGAACTACATCTCCCAAGAGCCCTTTCCCTAGGCAAGCTGGGGATGGGAATGAAGTCAGCAGCATTGTTTTGCTGGAAAATAAATCAATATATGCATGAGATGAAGGGGGGCGGGGGGGGGGGGAATG